GACCCCCAAAGGCAGAGAACAGCGCAGGAGCGGGAAGGCTGAGCAGAAATTGTCTGCCCCTAGGAGGAAGAACACAATCACACTCGAAAATGTTTCAACCTCAGGCCAGCAGGAAAGAGCTCTATCCTCCGCAAATTTAGCTTGCTCCCCGCTCCCGAGGTCTATGACATGTGACACATTTTGGAGCCTATACCTTTCAAGAACACCAAACTGCTGTGAATCTACCTTAACACACAGAAACAGTACTGGTTCCCACGCACTGGGCCAGGCTCAGGAGATCAGCATTCTACCCGGATCTTTCTTTTCTTTTCACAAACATGAGGTGTGCAAAATGACCAGAAGTGATAGTGCTGCCCATCACATTTTAAATATTTATATTTAAACATTAAAACTGGAATCCTGAAAATGTCATTAACGTGTTCTCACACAGAAGGCATCAGTATGACATTATGCATTTATTCATTTGTAAATGAATTGTAAAATATTGAATAGGTACAGAAATGTTTATTTATGACACTCATGAGGATGAAGATGCTCCTTTAAAATATAGAACCTGTACTTGATTGCTAAGCTGGCAGTAAAAAATATTGTGGCATGGAGCCAAAGAGATAGCTCAGAGGTCTAAAGCACCTGCTTAGGCAAAGCGCAGGGACCATGGTTCGATCACCAGCACCACATGCCATGCCAGCCCCATCCCCGGGGGGGCTGAGCAAAACCAAAAAAAAAAAAAAGAAAGAAAAAAGTGGCCTGGATGTTCTAAACAATAGAAATGTCTTGTCTCACAGTTGCTAGGCTGGAGTTCAAGATCAGGAAGCAGGCTGGGTTTAGGGTGTCCTAGATCTCTCCCGTAGCCTTGCAGGTGGCTGTCCCCTGGCGTCCCTACACATAGCAGCATTCCACACACATCCTGAGTGTCTGTTCTGTTCTTAAAGACAGCAGGCAGATAAAAACAGGGCCTGCCCACAAGCCCCATGGTAACCCAGTCTACTCCATAACAGTTGATACTGTCAAACACAGCCTCATTCTGAGGTACTGGGGATTGGGACTGCGACGCAGGAATTTGGGAAAGACACAACCAGCCTAGCACAGGCACCAATATAACACAGCCCTCAAAGAAGGGAGCTTGGTGGCCCCGCCTCAGTCCCCTCCTGATGCACATTCCCTCTTTCTGGGGCTGGGCAACTGGTGATCTTTATCTCGCATTTTTGGAAGGGTTTACCAATTATGTCTTTATGTTTTTAAAACCTCACTCTCTTTCTTTCCTAACAGAACCATTTGAAGCAATAAATTTCCCTCTAAGTAGTGCTTGGGTTGTGCCTCCTACAGATTTTGATATATTGGGTATACATCATTATCATTTCAAAACGTAGTCTAATTTCCCTTTTGATTTCTTCTTTGACCTATGGGTTATATGGAAGTGTGTTGTTTAAATTCTAAATGTAGGGGATTTTCTTGATGGCTTTCTGTTATTAACTTCTAATTTAATTTTGCTATTGTCAGACAAAATACTCAGTATGATTTCAATCCCTATTAAATTATAGAGACTTGTTTAATGGCTCAGCACATGGTCTTTCTTACATTTGGAATTAAAATAATAAAGTTAATAATAGCATAATTTAGCATAGCTACACTGACTGTGGCTAAATGGAGGCAAAATATCACTCACTCATAAAACTGCCTAAGAAAGTAAAGGCAAGCTAATTTTTTTTTAATTAGGTGAAGATCTGATTATCACTCAAAGGAAAATAGGCAAAGAACTTATTCTTAAAGATACAAGTATTCTTTTCTCACCCACTAAGTTCATAAAAAGACATTGAAAGCACTATAATCTTGTTTTACAATTGCCTCAATTTTTAGAACATTGAATACTACACCTCAACCAAATCACTTACATTACCTTCAGGAATCAAGTATTGACAGACATCAAAAGATCAAGGAAAGAGTCTAAAACTTACCCGACAGAAAATTAAATGAGACTGAGTCTGACATTTCTTTAAGAATGTCCAGAAAAAGAGACTGTCTAGCCACAAGGTTTATATTTTAAAGGTTAAAAAAAAAACCTGACCTTTTTTTCCCACAAAAGTTTCCAAAATATTACAAGAGATACAAGCATAGAAAATTATCTTTATATTTCTAAAAAAGACAATAACCTAAACGTGTTGAAAAAAGTTTCCTTGCTTACTGTCTTACTTTAGGGAAAACCATTAAGTTAAGCACATTTTTCTACAAAGCTATTTAAACAGCAAGATTCACAAGTAAACCTTATTTAGATGAATTCCAAGTCAAGGATTTGACCTATATAAGTTGTATAAATCAAAATCCAGGCAATATCCTTGAAGGAAGGGGCTAAAAATGGTTTAAAATTTTTCAGCCTGCGGATAAACATGTACTGGAAGTAGCATAAATTTTCCTAAATACTTGGTATCGCACAGCTAAGTAGAGAGGACATTTAGGTCTAATTTTGAACCTCTTTCAAAGTGAGTTTTTCCTAAGTATTACGGAAATAGCACGCTGTAATTCTAGTAATTATGGTAAGCATTCGCATGTTGGCAATCGCCTTTTTGAATAAGATTCCACAAATGCAACCTCTGACAACATACTATGAGCAGTGTTACGTGCACAGCACTGTTGGTCTGATTGTGTTCCTACTGTTGCAAGCCTTCCTTCGGGGAACGTGTGTTAATGAAAATTCTTCTTTCCCAGGATCCTTTGCACTATTCTTACAGAAATCTTCTCTCAGAGCCAGCAAACAGATTCATGCACCAAATCTGCAACATTTTTCAGGCATTACACTGAGCTTTCTTATGCAGCTCTCTATTAAAATGGTTTAAATTCCAAACCAAGCCTTGGGAAACACAGAATACACTCTCTGGAGCTTTTCTACAGCATCTGGCAATGGGACCAGAATGTTTCGATGAAAGGACATAAGTACTTTTAGATTCTTACGCTAGAAAAACAAATTAATTCTGACTAGAAGAAGGCTAGTGAGAAAGGCTTTGCCTTTTTCCTTTCTTTGTTGCTTTTTTTTTTTCTTTTTGAGGAACCGGGCATTGAACTCAGGCCCTTACGCTTGCCAGGCAAGCACTTATTCTACTGAGCCATCTCCATGGCCTCCAGCTTTGCCTTTTGTTGTTATGGATCTTGAAATATTCTTATTGTGGTGCAGATTTTTACAAAATTAAGTGTCCGCTTTGGCCTACAGACACATTCTAAAACATCACACCTTCACAGCTAATGCTTATCAAAATGACAAAGAAGGACTGATTTTTTGTTTCCTTTTTTTGGGACTGATTTCTTCTAACGAGGCATCCTTACCAAGCTGTTATGGAGGGTACTGGATGATGGTGTTACAGGACAGAACCACCGATTTAAATCTCTACATTTATGACCAGGAATTGATAAAGGCAGCTCTTTTTTCATTGCCAAATTTCTTTAATCTAAAATTTATAAAGCAGTCCAATTCAAAAATCACTCAACTTATTAATAAAATACAGCTTTATTAAAGCAATTCCCACTGACAAGAGCCAAGCTGAAGGTCACGCAGCATGGTCCTCTCAATACTAAGTAAGTGAAGTTGTAAAAGTCAGATGGAAAACATCATTAAAAGGAACGCTGATGTAATGGGAGACTGTGAGGCCCCACAGTCAGGTGATCTGAACTCAAACTTTTGCTCATCATCTAAATATTTCACTAAAGTTGTCAAAGCTTAGCTTTCTCATTTCTAAATTGTGCAAAGCCTACCATGTAGGCCAGTTGTGCTAAATAAGGTGACAAAAGTCAAACATCCGATATGTGGCCCCAATCACAGTATTTCTTCACTAAATAGCTATTTAAAAAAAATATTAGTATCTTGTTTAAAACACTACTCACGTTAAATGGAAACAAGTAAAATTTTTGCTTAATGGACCTTTCTGGGCTCTGTAACAAACAAAAATTTTAAAATTCAGCTTTTTCCAACAGTTAAATTAATTGTATTCTTATGATATACTTAATGATAGGTTGGCATTTTACATTGCTGGCTCTGTTGTCATATAGGAACTAAAGGCAAAACTGGATTTTGGAATGAATTTTTAACATATAAGAATACATTGCTAAGGCCTTTCCAGTACATGAAACTTTAACTATTATGAATTTACAACCATGAACGCACCCTACTGCTGCTAAGAATTTACCACCGTCTCAGCAAAAACGAGAGACAAGCCACCAAAACGGCAATGTGAGAGCTACCTGGACACAAGAGTACTTGCTCTGCAATTCCTTTTCTTGGAAATGCTGAACAAAGAATCAGAATTTGTGTCAGAGGACAGGAGATAAAGGGAATAAAGTTCCCACTTTCAAACAGGTGAGGAAGAAAAGCCAAAAGGAAGAGAGAATCCCCGTCCTGCCCACCACCAGCACTTGTGATGTTGATCCCAGATGAGGTTCTTGGCACATGGTCAAAAAAGTGGTAGCTGGTGACTCTGAAAAGACAGAAGCACTCCTGGCCAGCAGTAAGCGTTCAACAGCGGAAAAACCAAACTCACTTCCTTGTCTGACAAGAACAGCAATACAACAGATCAGGGAAATACAGTGACCGTAATATATACGGACTGGAATAGGGACTGTAGAAGGACTCTCACGACAACTTAGAGGACAAGATGCACGACAGTGGGCTGAACACTAGGGTGGCATGTTAGGCTAACAAATGATGAAGCAGAATGCTGTCCACATCCAATCCATGTCATTCTTTGGAAGGTCCACAGAGGCAGAGCTTTGTCTATGGTCCATTTGCTTTGCCATACTTCTATACCAATAACCTGGACAAAGCCAAAGAGGAAATACCTACTATAATTCCAGATTACCAAATAGCAACTGATACAGTGGTTTATCCCAAGCCCTTCCCAGACAGCTCCTCCTATGACTCTTGACCTTTATAACTATTCAACAAGGGAAGCAGAATTTTTTATTTTCCATTTTACAATTAGGGACATTGAGACTTCATAGGAGTTAACATGACTCACTTGATATTACAAAGCCAGAAAATAGCAGAGCTGAAGTTGAATCTCCAGCCCCTGAAGACTGCTGACTTCACATCTTGACCAGAATCTTGGGACAGGCAACAAACACAAAGATCTTCAAGAAGTGAACAAACCAAACAACCTTAGTACACAGAAGTAAGTATATATCTACAAAATAACTTCAACTAGAGTCCCAGGGTGTTCATACAGATATCATGTTGTCCTTATGGATGTCCTGAAACATATAATTCAAAATGACTTATGAGATGATAAATTTCCTAAGACAACCAAGCTGCATGATACATTTAGAAGAAAAAGAATTGTAGGAGCCTCCCACCACCTCACACGCAGGTCATGCCCACCTGAGTAAGGAGCTCCACCTATCAGATATGGTACTTAAAATGCTTTCCCATGCTGGAGGACCATGATTTGCGAGTACAAAGCTCACAATGGTTATATAAACATATTCTAAAAATAAATACTCACAGCTTGATTGTTGTAATCAGGGCTTACAAGGGAATAGATTCAAAACAGGATACATGATTTGTAAAATTATTTTACTATACTCCCCCCCAAAAAAGTCAAATGCTTCAAAGTACAAGCAATCTGACCATGACTAGAGACCCAAAGAATCTATCTGAGGGTGTGGATTTAATGGCAATGTCCTCCACGCATCCAGCTACAGAACCCACAGCAATTCCCTCACTGAGCCCATTTGGAGGCCTAGAACCCATGACAATGTCTCATTCAAGTCTGTATCAAGGACCTACACTGGAAAGACACAAAGGTTAGCAGTGGAAGTTAGAAAGTCTGCACCAGTGGGATGAAGGATCTGTACCATCAAGCCAGGGGATCTTCACTGAAACCAGGAAACGACGCTCAAGGTAAGGACCTGAGCTCCCCGAAAGGGATTAGCAGCCATCGTCAGTGACATGAGTTCCTGAGATCCTCCAACAAGAACAGCTGACTTTATATCAGGGAAATCAACACAACAACATTCTCTAGGAAAATCAACAGGGTACTGTCTTCCCCTCCAGTTTTTTATGCTGTTGGCAACAATCTTCTGGTGCCCATCCACACCCAGACACAGGTTAGCTGGTTGTTACAAGTTGACCATTAGTTAATCCACCACATTGATCATACAAATCAAAGTACCTAAAACCCAGAATTCTAATCTTTTGAGTTCACGATATACTTTTTTTCATCTTCATGTTAACAGAGCTTCCAGCCATAGGAGTAGCATCTGTCAAAGGTATATCTTTAGGGCTGGCCAGATAGTTCAGTGGACTAAAGTACCTGCTTAGGCAGATAAGGGGACCAGGGTTCAATCCCAGGTGTGCCCTGCCCCCAGGACATGCTGAGAGGGTGATTGAGACTGGGCATGGTGGCGCACACCTGTAATCCCATCGCTTGGGAGACTGAAAACAGGAGAATCACTATGAGTCTGATCTGTGTGGTGAGACCCTTATAAACCCTGTTCTAAATATAATTTTTTTTAAAAAAGGTTTATCATTGCTTGGAATATAATATAGAAAACTTAACAACAGCTCAGATACAATAAAGTAGAGATGGTGATAACATCTTCCCAGTCTTTCTCAAATGACCCAGGCTATGACCTTTGCTTCTCTTTGCTTTTCTCCACCTTTCAATGTAGCTCTGTCAGGCAGCACATCAGCTCTTCCTCTGACAGCATCCTGAGGCTGGATCTGGGATTTTGATTCAACAAAAGGGTCAACAGTCATGGAGTCACCTTGCTTCTAGAACAGAAATTCCTCCTAAGTGACCTGTTCCATGTTTTCATGCTGACCAAATGTCATGAAGCTTGTGTCTCCATGACACGAGGCAAGAGTCACTCTATCCAAGCCAACCAAGTGGAGGGGTATGGCAGGCTACCAAAACAACAACAACAAATAGGAAAGACTCTCCAAATAGCAATGGAAATCCATACTTAAGCATATGTTCAATTTCCTATGCCAATAGCTTCTAAACTTGTAAAACTGTGCGTGCCCTCTGGCACCTACTTGGTATATTCTTGGTTTGGCTTTTATACTGAGGTTTCTTCTTTCTAACTAATTCACAGCTACTAAAGTTTTTGCCTCATAAAGATCTTATCTTCTGAACTTTAAAAACCATTTTCCATGTCAGATGCCATCTTTGACTTCTCTCATTTTAAAATGCATCTTCATCTTCTATTTCTGCTGTTTCCTACTGGTTTTCTTATCCTCAGCTGCCTGCGATCAACACCACGGGTGTAACTCCTTAGGCAAACAGGCCACTCCAGAGGAGGGTGAGCACAGGAACCAACAGCACCCCCCGCGTCCAGCAGTCCTGGGTTTGCGGTATTTTCCCATGGGATGTAAGCTAACAGGCTTCACGGAGCGGGGCAAATGTCCCCACTCATGGCAGTGCAGCCGCTCTGCCATCCGCACTGACTGATGCCAGCTAGCCAGGCTCTGCAGACCAATGAAACTCCCCACCCGCGTGGCAGATATGCCCACAGCTTTATTTCTTCTAATGCTATATTAATGCATTTCAGGCCTCAAGTTTCTGGCCTACACTGATTTTTTTGGACGTCTGAGTTACACCCACCAGGACAACATAACATCCAAACAGCAACCCCAAGGGCAGTGCAAAGAAGATTTTCTCATTATGTCATCAAACAGGAAACCTCAGGGAGACTCTGGGATTAATGTATTTTCCACTGGAGCTGAAAGCAGGCAGGATGTAGCCACTGGAAGGGAGAGAGGGAAGGAAAAAGTGCTGGTAGAGGTGGAGGTAGCATCTTTCCTAGGACATTTAAAGAAACCACTCATATATATTTATATCCTTTCGTCTCCAAGCAAATAAAGATTTTCAGTTGAAACTGAATGTGGTAACAAGCACGCTATGGGGGTCCTGGGTATGAAGGCACTCCACAAAGAGTTTCTCTGAACCATGGCACCATTCTTGCTCCAGATGGCATGGAAAATAATTTATAAATGACAAAAGTTCAGCGAGTGCATGGCAGCTGTTCAGCCCCAGCTCTCTCTGGCCACCCACTCCAGGAGAACGGAGAGCTTTCAATCAACTCCTGTCTCTCAAAGGGGCCTCCACACAGCATCAGAACATGTGTACAATATGTTCTCAGAAAGGAGCCGGCCAAGTATGAAAGATTAGAAAATCAAGCGAAATAAAAATAGAAAATAGAAATACATACTGTTGTCTCCAACATCCATAATACCAGGGAGGGACTGAGAACAAAGGACTGGGAGGTTTTGAAACCAAACTTTGTTCATTGTCTTTTAGAAAGAAGGAAAAAAAAAAAAAAATATATATATATATATATATATATATATATATATTTTTTTTTTTCATGGTTTCCTTTCCCACAGAATGAGAAGTGTCTAGAAATAATGTGATTTTAATTAATATCATAGAGTCAATTTTTGCTTCCCCTTGCATTCATCCATTTCTATAAACCCTTACGTTAAACATTTCAGCATGACCATGGACTGACTGTGATCTTAGTGATGAACTGCCCCTACTTTAAATGTTTGTTCTGAGCTTCCCAGAGGAACAAAATTTAAGACTATCCTCTTATCCATGGCAACGGTACTTGCCTATAATGCCAGCGTTCTGGGAGGCTGACCAAAAGATCACAAACTCAAGACCAACCCAGGCAATTTAGGAACTTGGGGAAACTATCCCAAATAAAAAACCAAAGGGCTGAGGTTGTAGCTGAATGTTGAGGCCTTGGGTTTGAGTCCTATCACCACAAAATACACACACACACACACACACACACACATGCGCGCGCGCTACTACAATCTTGCAAAAGAAACATTTTCCTCCCCTTTCTTCAGGAAAAGTGAGCCAGGCAGTCATAGACCCCTAATAATGGCCCCAATAAATGATAAACTTTTCCCATTACTATGTGATTTTTAGTGATAGTTTTCACGGCTTTCAAGGGCAGACTGGGTGGACTGTGCCACGCCAGGTCCGCCTCAGGCACTGGCCACACACAGTCTGTAGAGTCAAAAATATCCCACCACACAACTGAATTTCTCCTAGACTTCTCTGCAAAAAGCCAGGTATGGTGGTACATGCCTGGAATCCCAGCACTCTGGGAAGCTGAGGCAGGAGGATCACCAGTTCAACTCTAACATAGCAACACAAGACCCTGTCTCAAAATAAAACATATATATATATATATATATATATATATATATATATATCCATGTGAAGCCCTGTGTTCACTTCTCAGTATCAGTCAACCAATCAATCAATAAAGGAAATTTTCTTACTCATACACAGTAACTCCACTACGGTATTTTAGGTGTAACCCAAGATATTTCCTCTCCACTCAGCGCAGACCAGGTCAGCCAAAAGGCTGGGTACTCACACACTAGAGAATCACCTACTAACACTAAGAGAGAGGAGAAAAGAACTGATTATACTCACTAAAGTTATTTAAAAATACAGCTGGCCTGCATAATAAACACAACCTAAACAACGCGCCACTGCCGGAAGACGCAGCTTCACGCACGGCAACCACAGTAGGTAGGGTTATAATTTAAGCAGCGAAAACTCAGCGTAGTAAATGTCGACGTTAGGCCCATCTGCCGGACTGACTCCTGGCATGCACTCTTGATTGACTACAGAAGCTTTCGAAGATTTAGCCGGGCTGGGTTTGGACTGAGTAGAATGCGGAAGGATGATAAACAGGAGGCTGAGATTGTATCGCGGGGAGGCTCCAACCACCCACTCGGTGCCGCTTTAGTCTTTTCCATAAATAGCTCGCTTAAAGAAAGGCTCTCAGGGCCCAGGAGGTGACATGCTTGTAATATGCGTGGGGTCGGCTAAAAAAAAAATCCTCATATTGAAACTTCTCACACACGTAGCACATAATTTTAAGTGCAGATATTTATAGTCACAAAAGAGTTGAAAAGCTGGGACTGGCTGAAAGCAAAATTGTTCTCCAAATTTATATTTGATTTCATAAAAACGCTTGGTGATGTCTTCTCTTTTAGTGCCACGGAGCTCCTGGTGTCCTTTGTAAATTCTCTTTTAAACATTACCGTGCTTGATCCTCAATGAATGACAGATGTAAGAATTAGGAGAGAAAATTGGT